TGCTGTTAGATTTGTTCACTGTATAGTCACCTGTTTGTTTTCTAGATGATGATAGGCAATGTTTGCCCAGCTATTCAAATGTTGTTCTCCCTCCTACCTCACTGATACTATTTGTTGCATAAACTGATTTTCTGGCTTGTTTTGGACATCTAATGTTAGCTGTTTATGTATGTAAAAGCTCTCTCTGATGTGATATTTTTTTACTCATTGATTTTTTTTTTTTCCCCCAGAAGCCAGTCGAATGTTTCTATTGGCCTTATTCTGCAGGTATTGGGATAGATGAAACGAGCTTAAGAGACAACTAACCCCTCTTAATACGTGACTAGTTTCTGAATGAAAGTCAAAATATTATTAAAATTGTAAAACTTGGGAAAAGAAGAAAGGCAAGTTCAGGAGGGCCACCTTAGGCTAAGTCCTCAGAACTTGCTTTTTCTACACACAGAGAAATAGATCTTTCCCATTCTGGCACAAATCTTTCTTTTACCTGAGTTTACTGGTGATTTCCAGTCTTAGCTGCCACTTCCATTTAATCTTGCAATCTGATAACCTGCCTGTCTAGTTTCCAGTTAGTGGAGTCTTTTTTTTTTTTTAAAAAACAAACCAAAACAAAAACAAACAAAAAACCCCAAGATAAAACAAAATAGAAACATTGTTTGTTCTTTTTCCACAATGAAGTACTCAGTGATTCTGATCTAATATTAAGCAAAAAGAAGCCAAAGATAGACACCCAGAAATACCAGCAGAAAAACTGTGTTTCAGCACCAGAGAAAGAGCAGTATTTCAGCTGGGGCTTTGCAGTATCTTGCTTTCAGACAGGCATAGTATTATGATGGTTCTGTGACTGCAGCAATTTGTCATCTTTGCAATTAGTCATTTTTTCATTGTGCATTGAGATTTTTAATTGAAAACATTTCTACAAAGCAGAAGGCATTTTAGAAAATATATGGAAAATGTACATTTGAATATTTAGTAACATTTATAGAATTTGTTTTATTTTCAGGGAGTAGTTAAATTTCCTGTACTTTCCTTTTTATATAAAATAACAAATCATTATGTAAACTCTTACTTCTTTTAAAGCTTCTTGGTTGAGTTTAAATCAGTTTAAACAAAATGATAAATTCAAATTATGAGAGTTTTTTTATTGTAAAGTGATTCATTACAAAACAGCACAGGCTATGAACTTGACAAGTTACTGAAAATATGATGGAGTATGTAGGGAAGTCTTAAGTTTTACAGTTTTAGGCTGCCAGCTTATGTACATGTGGGAATTTTAAGGAATTCTTTTTTTACTTTGTGAGTTCAATATGTGTGGTAACTTTCAGTTGTTTGAATTCTGTTAGAGTAGCAGCAGAGTGTTTAGGCAGAAAATCCAAATCCCTTCCTCTAGATGGAAATACTGGTAACTGATTTTTTCAGAATAAAACCCAGCAGTTCATGAGTTATGTTTTTCATTTTAAGATGCATCCTGTATAAAATGTCTGACTAATTAAATTGTGGATTTCATTTAGCGTTTGATGTTCTGTTGATTCTGAAAAGGACCAGGCAAGCTGACTACTCTTTTTTTGGCAGGATGATAGGGAAGAAAAAGTTACAACTGCTAGCACAATGCGTAACTACATAGCTTGTCTCTGATCCTGTGAGGATTTATGCTGCCTTAAAGGGTCTTTTAAATTTTTCCTTGCCCATAACTCTTCTCAGTGCCAGTATACCTGAATAGATAATTTTAACCTGTTATTTTTTTTTTCACTGTAGTTTCACTTTGTTTTCACTGTCACTTTCCTATCACTGATACTGTTTAAACTTTATTAAAAAGAGTACAGTCTTCATTTGTTCTGCAAAGCACAAGATTTGTGGTGCTAAGCAGAAGTATAGAAGATTGAGAAATTTCAGTTGCAGCGAGTCCAACTTTCTAGAAAATACATTAACTTAGAGTTGAATGTTTGCTTTTATAAAAATTTGATGAGTTGATACTAAATTGTGGACATGATCAGTGTGAAATGAACTGCAAATTCTGGGCTGGGTGATTGTCTTCATATGCTCATATATGCTTGAAGGCATTTCCATTGTAGATCTGTCATCAGCAATTACTGATTGACTCTCACCTGTTGTATCCTGCACGTGCATCCAGCATCTTTTGAACAGCTACACTGGAGCTAGACTGTAAAATAAAATAATTTCAGAAGCACTATATTCTGATAAAGCTATGATAATCTTAGTAGGAAAAAATAATGGATGCTGTACAAATACATGCTTTAGGCCTGATGTATTTAAAATCATTGTCAGTTCAGTTATGCAGTGATGTCTTTGTGGGCTAGGTTACAGATAATACTGTTTTGCATGATTGATTAAGCAAATATTGTACAAAGCACAACATTAGGGAAGCAGTTACTCATGTTGGCTATTCCTTCACATGTTCTTGTAGTAAACACTAGAGTAGAAAGTTGGAGTCAAGTTGGGCTTATATTACTAGTTACTACACTTCAAACGGGGTGATGGCAGGATTTTTCTAAAATCATTTATGCTCCTATATGACTAAGATACTTTGAAAAGTTATCCTATAAACATTATAGATTGCAGGATGGGACTTTTATTTTGACTCTTTTAATGCATAAAGCACCTGCTGCATGGGAGGGAAGAAGTGTAAGCATGTTGGGGTAATACTCTACCTGTAGGATTATATTTGTGAACCACAATCTTTGTATAAACAACATGCCATTACTTTTATCATTTTAACATTGATGGATATCAGTGATTTTTATTCACATTACCACATCTGTATTGCTCAATACTTAAAATATAGAATTGAATTTATTTTCTGTAATGTTTCATGACAACAGCTGAGGATGTTGTTTTGCAGCAGTCACGAACTTATGTGGCAGATTTTAGAAAATACTCCTTTGGCCTTTCCCTCTTGACATTAATTTATGATAACTAGGGAAAAAAAATGCAATTTGTTAATAAATAATGAGAAACTGTGGTATGCACTTGGGAAATTCTTATCTTAAAAGTCTACTGATGATAACCACTTTTACCCGCATCCTTCTTCTCGTGTTTATTTCCACTTCTGCTACTTACATATGGTAAGCATTTGGGAGCTGTGATTAGACTTCTGTGAATAATTGACTATTTTTTTTAAATAAGCTCGATAGAAAATTGGTTTGGCTATAACAATGTTTTAGGGGTTTTGTCTTTTTTTTTTTTTTTTCCTATTTTTTTATGTTTTGGAGGTACACTTCACAAGTGTGGATCTGTCTGAGGTGGATCCTGCTGGCTTTATGCCTCCCATCATTTTCCAAATGCTCAGACATCTCATTACCACTGTTTGCATCCACATTCTGCTACCCTGAGGACATAAAGAATTGACTAGAGCAGCTAGTCAGCTCCTTCTGATCAGTCTGCATAAGAAAATCTGGAAAAAGACTATTTTTCCATTTTTGGAGACTCTTGGCAGGAAATAAAAAATAGCTCTATGTCAGCAGCTCTGCACTGTACTTCCCTGGAATTACTTTGAGGTAGTGTACCACTCTTACAAAAAGACTTCTTGCCCTGCTGTTTGAGAGGTGAATGACAGTTAAGGTGTCACGGTTAATCTACTGCTTGTGGTTTTTCATGTAGGTAGATGACAGAGACCATATCATAACTTCCTTTCAAAATTAATTTTTAACTTTCAAATTTTTTACTCTACTTGGTGATTTTGTTTTTTCCAAAAGCCTCTACCAGGAGATAAAATACTTCTTGATATTGAGTTGTGTTTTTTGTTTCTATTTTTTAATTAACATAGTAGGACAGGAACCACTTTCTGAGTGGTGGGGAACTAAATTTGGAAGGAGCAAGTGGCTTGTATTGCTTTTTCCAGTTAAGATAATATGTGATGAAAGTATAATTTACTGGAGCCCAGTCACTCGTAATGCAGGCCACGTCAGCTGCTTTCTGAAGTTAGCTGCTAGCAGAAATTTGTCAGCAACAATTTAGAGCTTGATTAAAACTTTTGAGTTGGTTGAATATGAGGTTTTTAACTTCTCTTTTCTGGCTCAGGTGCCCAGTTTGGGAGGAGAGATCAGGTTGTCAGGAAAGAAAATTTTTCCTGTCCTTTCGGTATCAGGCACTTGCTGACCCTGGGGTTGCTTATACAGATACTTAAAGATTGGCATTACTTTAACATAACCACACTTCTTAAATAGGTGCATCTGTAGATCCATAAACTACTTTACTTCTTCTGCAGCATTGGGAGTTTTATTGCCTACGTTGTGGACAGTGACTGGCAGTAGTCTCTGCCAGTCAATTTGGATTTTTTTGTCTCCAGAAGAAATGATGATGATGTGCAAGGTCTAACAGGACCCACGGTTGAAATAATTCTGAATTTCTGTGGCTATCTGCAGCAGAAGTGGAGCATATATGTTCTTTACATCTGACTAATTCCTTAAATAGACAGAAGACTCTAGGTTGTCTGTCAAAGCACAACACTTTTATTTTCCTTTTTATTTAATTGTACTCTTTCTTGCGGCTGAAATAATTTTAAATTTTCAGCATAAAATCTACTGGAAAAAAATTCACCTGGCTTGAGATATAAAGATACTTGTTTGCTATTAAAAGTGCTTAATGTGTTTCTAAAAGGAGGAAAACAGACTATTGCAGAAGGTATTGGATATTTGTTACAGTATTGCTTTGACTTAGCAAAACATATAGGTGTATGCTGAGCTCCTAAGTTTGTGCTCTCTGCTTGTTTTACTTGAATTAAGATATATTGAAATGTTTTGTTCAAGCAGATCTTATTCCCATAACAGAAGGGGGATCTTTTTAAATCGAAAGAAAAAAAGAAACAAAATAATTTTATATCCATGATACAAAAGGAAGGGAAAAAAAAAAAAAGAAATGGAAATGCCAGACGTTTCTTCTGCTAAAACCTTTTGTTCTGTCCAGTCTTCTGCCTGCCTCAACTAGCAATACTACATGTTTGCATGGTTCTTAAAATGTTCTTTCTGCCAATTTTATTAAAACAGGCAACAACAGAGAGACCTTTTATACAGAAGCTATTTCGACCAATTGCTTCAGGAGGACAGTTGCATACTTTGGGAGATCTGCTAAAAGATGTGTGTCCTAGTGCTATCGCCCCTGAAGGTACTGTAGAAATAACTTTTGTCCATTAAGATATTTTTTTCTGTTGACTTATTGTTTTGTTTTGTTGTTTTTTTTTAATATGGGGTTTTTAAAGGTAGAACTTCATCTCAGTACCAGAGTTTCAGATTTTACTCCTTCCTGGCCCTTTAGCGTGACCAGTATATATCACCTGCAGTGTTTGGAGAGGATAAGATCGAGTCCTTAGAGATTCATAAAGAATTAATCTCTAAAAGTTTTCTTTTAAAATTCATATATTCCTTTGCCATCACACTTTTTAATAAAAACATTCACGTGTTCTTTTCTGCATTTTTAAAAGATATTCTTAAAGCAATGTCAACAGAAGTTTTATTTTAAGTTACCTTTAATTTTATATTGCATAAATTTACCATATATAAAACTCCAAAATTGATAGAAAATTGAGATATTTTCAGAATACTTTTTTTCCCTGTTGAAGCTCAACCTTTAAAAAGAGAAAAGAACCAGAAAAGAAAGGGGTTTTTATATGTATGTAATAGTTCATGTGTGGTTACTAAGTAGTATTGTGTGACAAGATACCAGTTAGTTCATGTAGCATTATATCGTTTCATACAATGGCATTTGTTGATTAGGACTTACTGAGAAAATTAAGTATTTCTGGATGTTATTTTATCCTTAAATATTACAACTATTGGAATTCTGATATACTTTTTAGGTGGGATAATGTAAAATTACTCTGCAAATTAAGATCAAAATTATTGCATGTGAAATTTTTTTCATCTTGTTCTTGCTGTTGTCTTACCAGTACTTGTAAATGGATAACCTTTTTTTCAGTCAATAGTCACAATTTGTTTTGAACAAAGTGTCTGATATTCTAGAGAAGATCTTGGCAAAGAATTTATTAGTGTAGTATCAGCACCTTGGCAGTAAAGCACTAAATTTGAAATCAATGTAAAAATCTATAAGATATTGTTGTACACAGAAGTTGTGTAATTCAAAATCAAACAGTTGTCATGGGTTCCTTTAAGTATGGTGATCTTAGAAATAAACTGAAATATTAAAGTATTTTTTTATCCCTATTTCTTACTTGTTAACACATGGAAATAATTTCCAAAAATAGCAGAAGTTAAGGAAAATATGGAATGTTGGTAGCCATGTGTCCATTTTTCCAAAAGCTAGTATAAGTTTTAGGGCATAATTTTAGGTAATGCTTTCAACTAACTGTCCAGAAGATAAAGCAAGATGCAAATAGATACTTGAATGTTAACACAAGCAAGTTTAACCATCTTTAAGTACTTAAGTGTGAGGAACCTACAGACACTAGTGAAAAGGTACAAAGTGAAGTTAAAAAAAAAAAAAGGAAGGTTGATGCATTATGACTTGGAAGGCAGTCAGGAGCACAAATTAAATTAAAGAAACTCAAAAAGCATTTATGCAGAAGTTATTCCAGAATATAATGGATGATAATTTTTGTGTGGATTTGCTAAAGCTGCAGATGGGGAATGTGCTTGTTACTGCCTTTATTAAAAGCACGAATGTAATATTGTTTTATCTGTGTACCAATGACTTGATGCTTCCCATTAGTAGGCCTTCTTTTCAGATGTCAACAAACGTGCCAACCTTTAATAGCAGAGTAAAAATGTGCTGTGCTAATTGCTTACTTCATTTTTATTAAAGGCTAAAAAAAAAAAAAAAAAAATCACCCTATACTGTTTACTCAATGGGGGCAAAAAATGGTGATTACTTGGAAGAAAATAAACTAAAATAGGTACTGTCCTTACACTTAGGAGGAGCAATTTGAAAGTTGGAGAGGATAAGATTGAGTCCTTAAGCATTCATGAAGAATTAATCTCTGGAAGTTTTATTTTAAAATTTGTGTACTCCTTACATATTTTTTTCCCATATATTGAAATATACTTTGTTTCTGTATAAAACTGCTTAACTTTTACCTAGTTTCGATACTCAAGATTCTACTGAGCAATTTGCAACCTTAGAGTTTAATAAATCTGATCCCTTGCATGGGTGTGAGCTGTCTAGGATTCATCAGAATTTCTCCTGTAATGCAGCTTTGTATTATTGCGTTTTTCAGTTGTTCCTCTTATACTCTGAGTGTTCCCCTCTTCTGGTAAGTAAGAGAAGGAAAACTGCCTGAGCTAAATGCAGAAAATAATATGAACTCTTGAGGAGATATTGGGGTAGACTGTTTAGAGCCAGTGGAGGGGGAGGCAGACTCACTGAACAAGCAATTTGGAAGAAAATGACAGATCTGGGAGTCATTAAATGGGATGGGGAGAGCAACTACAAACAATGTGTCAGGATGAAAGAGATTGGAGCAACAGCCGAAAACTGACATAATAACTGTGAACACCTGGACAGAGTAAGTGGGATAGGAGATGATAAAAGGACGAGGGAGAAAAAGGAGCATATTGCATGTGGTTCATACGGAGATTGTGCAAGGCATCTGTGAAAGAATGGAAGTCCTGCTGATTAAGTGATTTGGACGGTCTGGAGACCTGTTTGGAGAAACAGATTGAATCAGAAGTTGAAAAGAAGAGCAGTTTGCACTGGCAGAACAAGAAGATGCAGGTGGATAGGTGGTCAGGTGAAGCTGGAGATAGTTAGGTAAGGGACTGGGGAAAACTTGTTCAGGTTTTGCTGTACAAATAGACTGCACCCCAGACAGGAATACAAAGTAGAAAACTAAGCACGGCGACATGGAAAGAAAAAAAAAGACCTAGGAGATAGATCAGGAAGAAACAGAATGAGTACAAAATTGAGGAATGATAGAGAAGGGATCAGACTTTTGAAAAATGACCTGAAAAGATGGATGCCCATAACAGCAGTGATTTTTACTGCTGAGGAACACGCACATGTAAGGTCAGTGCAGTTAAGAGGTGTGAAGGGCAACACTGGTTTAGGCTTGACTGCTTCAGTTCATCATATGCCGTTCGCTGATGATTCAACTTAGCCAACAAGTGAACTTTGATTGTTCTCTTGCTTGGATTAATCCACTCATCTCATTCACTATTCAGGTGTAATGTGCACCATATTAAGTGTTCATGCTCTAGTACAGCTCTGAGCTATTGAAAAAAAAAAAACAAAAAAAACCCGAACCATTAACTCACCAGACTGCATAGTGCCACTTTTGAGTTTTGCTTATAGAAATGTTAGCAGCCATAGTGAGGACATCACTCTTCCAGCGAGTGGGCTAGACTCCTGAGAATAAAGAACCTCCGCATGACTGTGCTGCTGAAGTCTCCATGAAACCCACTTAGTCAACTCATTTGCTCTCTGATGCTGGTTCACTGAGGGTTTAACAAGCTTTCTCTGTCAATAGATGCTCCATCAGTTCAAAATGCAGAGGGGTTTGTAGAGCTGAGTGTTTCTATCCATTTTATGGCCATATGAGAATTTTATTTGCAAGCAATTTTTGGAAATTTTGCAAGCAAATTTTGGGAAACTATGCATAAATGTTTTTCTTCTAAAGTAGTTGTATCCATTTGAAGTTGAATACTTGAAATTTAGGAGGTGTCAGAGTTGTAGACTGCCTGTACAGTCTTAATTTCCATACACACGCACACTAATCATTATACAGCTTATAATCACTCTCCACCTCTCATCTCCCTTTGTTTTCTGTGAGACTTTTGTCTTTCTGCACATGCTGGGCATGTTGTAGTGTCAGAGCTGTGTAATGAAAAATCATTGTCCTGATTGTTGAAATGATGGATGGGGAATGAATGTACTTCAGGAAGTATTATAATTTAGGCAGCTGAATACTGCCGTTAGGAATTGAATTAAGTTCTTTCTCCCCTAGGGATTTCATTCATATGTGATACTAGGCAAGCTGACTGTTACAAACCCACCCATTTTGTAGAAAGGAACACCAGAAAAATCTAGTGATCAGTGTGAGTGTTCCGCTGAACAGGTTGCTTGCTTGTACTTTGAATCAGCGAGAACTCTGGGGCTTTGAGTGTGCAAACACCAAGCACTCTCTGAAACAAGTTCTAGGCCTCTCATTACTCTTCTTCTCTCCCACCCTCCAAAAACTGGATACTTCTGGCCATAATGTCGCTGAACTTCAGTATGTGATCTATAAAATGATGATAATACAGTCTCTTTCCATGGGAAAATTTTGATGAAACACTTTCTGAAGGAAAAATGGCTTGTGGTCAAAACTTGTTTGAATTTCATGATATTAAAAATTTCCTCTTTGAACCTTCTTTGGTATCTTCTATCTTTTGTTCTTGTAAACTTGTATGTTTTGTCTTAATCTACAATTTATATTTATTCTGGTCAAGGCATTAAAATAATATTGTAACAAAACAGAATACATTATCAAAGATATATTAAAAAATGATGGCAAACTCTTTTCCATGTCTGGATTTTCAGACTTTATTCAGTGTTACCAAAGTTTAGATCTACTTAATTTTTCTGAACAAAGGAAAAAAAAGCAGTGTCTTATCAAAGATATGCTTAAAAGCATAATCAATATTGGTGAAGCAAGTTGTTTTCAACTTTTTTCACTCTTGTTTTCAAAAAGTAATTTAGATATTTTTCCAAGACTGTTTTTTAACCCCCTGTTTAGTGAATTAACATATCGGTGACATTAGCTGCATCTTTTTGTCAGTGCAACATAATCAATATGAGCTTCTCTTTCTGGTTTTCTCCATCTGTTGAACTTCTTTTTTTTTTTTCCTTCTTCCTCTATGGTTTTCTCTTTTCCAGTGACTTCTCATTCAACTGGGAGCTTCATGGTAATTGTGATGATTGCTTGTCTATGGTGACATCCATAGCTGAGCTTTGTGCCGTGGGAACACAGAGAATATACAATTTTCAGACTCAGCATTTGTAGTGTTATATGTGAGCTGTTCCTGCTGCCAGATACTTAGGGACCACCACAAGAAGAGGGAGGGAAGGGTTTCAAGAACCACCCACAGTGTCTATATGACTTTGCTTTAGGAAACATGGATATAATTAAGTTTCTCTTTTAACTGTGATGAGAAAAAATATTTCAATGAAAAGAT